AAAAAAAAAAAAAAAAAAAAAAAAAAAAAAAAAAAAAAAAAAAAAAAAAAAAAAAACGAAAAAAACATGAAAAATAACAAAGGTGGAGCAGTTATATAGGGGTTGAAACGATATACATGGATTGGATTTGACCATTTATTTATTATTTATTTTGTTTCTATAATTTTAATTGATATTAATTATCTGAAAAGTAAATAATTTGATATTTCACTTTTGTTGTGACGTTTATGGAACGGCGTAAAAGTCTTCCTCATCCCACTATCACTCTTGTGCAGTGATATCCACGATTAAATTCTTCGTTTATTTTTGTTAGGACTGTGATAAGGTTCCCGAGAACTTTTACACTAGACTATTAAAAAAAAATGTAAAACATATTTTATATTATTTTTATAATTTAAACCTAAATTATCAATTATCATATCAAAAATCAATAATTTAATCTTTCACTCTCGCATGGGAATGTCCATTGGACACGGCAGAAACAACTTCCTTATCCCCACTGTTACTTTGATATAGATCACGTAACTAAATTCTTTTTTTTTTTTTGTAGGATATGGACATTCTCGAGATTTTTTTCCACAATTTTGTATTATTTTTATAATTTAAATTAAGCGTGTTATATAATACATTAAATATCATATCAAAAGTTGATAATTCTTGCATGGTAATGTCCATTGGACGGGGCTGAGACAACGATTGTCACTCTCACATAGTGATATACACGTAACTAAATTCCTTATCTATCTTTACGAGAGCTGAGACAACGATTCTCTGGAATTTTTTTCCACGAGACCATTAAAAAATTCTAAAACATATTTCATAAACAAAAAAAAAAAAATATTCATACTTAAAAATATATATTATACAAGTTTTAATTTTGATAATAATATGGTGGAGAAATGACGAAAATGCCCTTTTGAGTAGAGAAATCTCTCCTCGCTCTCTCCCCGTTCCGTATTTAAACAAAAATTTTGTACCTCATTCACGACCAGTTAAATGAAGATCTCTAGTCTCACAATTACTTTATCGAGATATTAATATAATTTAATTTATAAAAAATTATAGACTTTAGTTTATAAATTTAATATGTGATTTTGTGCATTTTTAATTTAAATATTAAAATAAAATTATAATTATGGGTATGGCTAATTTTTTTTATTAAATTATAAAAATAAAAAACGTTTGTCAGATAAAATTTAATAGCATTCTAAAATGGCCTAAAAAAGTAAAAGATTATGATTATATTTGTTGACATTAAATAAATTAATAAATATAATTTTTAATAATAAATAAAAAGCTTTATATTTTAATAAATTTAATTAAAATAAAATTAAAATTTAAAATTTAATAAGCAGCAGTCCTTCTAGAATCATCGGCACCGCGGGAAATATATTTTTTTAAAAAAATAATAATTTTGAAAATTCTTAGAAATTAAAAAAAATTAATTTTTTTTTGTTTTCTTTTGATTTATTTTTATCGAATTTTTGATTTGGTGGATCTATTTTGCTGTCGCCACCCATTACGACTTCGCCCCGTTTCTTGCGACGATCGTCTTTCCCATTCTCTTTCTATCACTAGACTCTCTCTCTCTCCTCATTTCTCTCTCTAGAACTCCAAGATGGGTTTGACCTTTTTCTATTATACTTCCTTCTTCTCTTCTTCCCCTCTTATACGCTTCGCCAACTACCATTTTTGCTTAAGAAATTTGCCCATTTGGCTGCAGACTTGGCCTATTTCTTGTTCTTGT